TTCAAACTCACCAGCTGCTCCATAGGACAAAGATGTGGCATTATGAAAAAAATATATTTACAGCTCTGGAAACTTTATGAGGCAGTTCTACTCTGTCCTATAAGGTGCATAGCCATCAGAATCAACTTGACAGCTGTGGGCTGTGTTTAAATGACTAATGATGCTGATCATCTTTTCATGTGCTTTGGCATTAATGTATCTTCTTCCAATACATTTCTATGTATTTCTTTTTATTATCAAGTCTCTCTCGATACATATATGTACATATATACATAATTTTCCCCCCTGGGTACAAGTTTGTCATCAGGCATAATCTGAAAATATTTCCATCCACTTTCTGGATGCTATCCTTTGAAGCACAGTGGTTTATTGCCTCGATGAAGTCCAATTTACTTGTGTTTTATTTTATTGCTTATGCTTTTGCTATCCTATCTAAGAATCCATTGCCAAATTAAAAATAAAACCGATTTATTCCTATATTTCCTCCTAAGAGTTTTATGGCTCTTAGGGCTTGTGTCTTTGATCCTTTTTGAGTTGATTTTTGTTCACGTTATGAGGTAAGGGGCCAATGCCGTTCTTTTGCCTATGGCTATAGTTATTACAGCACCATTTGTTGAAAATATTATTCTCTCATCCTCTTTTAATTTTATTTTTCTGGGGTGCTGAAGAGGTAGGTGGTCTGGAAGTAGACTTCTGCTGTTGCAATGGAAAATGCCTTCCTCACAGGACATTAAATGCAAGCCTGAATAAGAAAAGTATTCCTTCCACCTAAGCCATGGCTTATCAGTTATATAGAAATACCACCTTGGGAGACAGTCTTGCAGAGAGCCTAGATGAGCTCATATAGTCTCAACAGATCACCCCCCCCCAACTTGCTCTTCAAGTTCTCCTTCAGTCTGATAAGGCTATAAAATCAGCATGGGCTCAGAGAGTCTGGATCAGAGTCAGTGGCTCTTTAAGTATGTACAGATTCTGCAATAATGTGCAGACTTCTGTTTTGAATGATGTTGAATTCAGAGAGGTGACAGCTTATTAAAGTGGATAAAGTGAGAATACTAGCCTGTGATGGTAAAAATACTGGGTCCAATACTACAGAATGAATTGGGGGGGGTGGCTTTTTTATGCTATCATCTGTTATAACTCATAGTTTTTTGAAGAGAAACTTAGAAGATACTTTTAAAAAAAATGTATCCTAGCAATGCAGAAATGACTCCATTGTGCTATACTGTCAGAGAATTCCAGTAGAAGTCTCATAACTCTGTAGCCACTTCCATTCACTTGTTACTCAGCTCGAAGAAATCCAATTTTTTTAAAAAATAACAAATAAAAAGTTATCTTCCTATATTCTTTAATAATAAAATTTAAAACATAAAAAAAGAAAATTAATTTTTCATTTAACAGTTTATACATATCTTATTTCATGACACTGATTGAAATCCCCAGGATGTAACAAGCACTCTCCTCACTTCTTGCCTGCATTTCCCATTTCTATTTTTTCTTTTTTCCTGTCTTCTGAGCTTTGTGGGCAAATGAAGACATTTTGGTCTCAAATAGTTGATTTTCCTGAGTAGAATGTTTCTCTTTGTTATTATGCACTTTAATAAGGCTGTGAATTTTTTGGCTGAATGTGGATTCCTAGGAGTTAACTTCGGATCTAGGTTTCTCTGGGGTCTCTAAGGATCACAACCTTGGAGGGGACGGTGTCTAGCAGCAGTCTCTATTAGATTATAAAGTCTGGTTGGTTTTTTTATGATTTTTCACTTTGTCCTTTTTTTTTTTCTCACCTACTCTGTCCAGAACCTTCTACTATGATACTAATTGGAACAGTTGGTAGTGGTGGCCAGGCACCATGTATTTCTTTCTGATATCAGAGTGATAGAAGCTATGGTTTGCATGATCCATTAGTCTTTCGGACTAATTGCTTCTTTGAGTCTTCTATTTTTGTCGCTCTTCTTTGATGGATTGGGAGAGACCAACAGTTGTATCTTGAATGGCTGTTCACAAGCTTTTAAGACTTCAGTAGCTGCTGAATGATTGGTAGTTCGAATCTACCAGCTGCTGGGCTAGAGAGATGTGTCAGTAGTACTCTGCCTTAGGGAGTTGCAATTGCTGCTAGCAGTGGAGTTTTTTTGGCTGTTGTTATAATTAGTGCTCTATGTCTTTCTATTTGGAATATCTAGTTTAAAATGTTTCCCAAGGCTTCCTTTTACTTGATGATCTTCTAGTTAGTTGTATTATCCATACTGAAAGTGGAATATTGAAGTCTCCAACTATTGTTGACTTGTCTATTTTCTCTTTCATGTCCCCCAGTTTTTGCTTCTTCTATTTTGTTGCTTTGTTATTAGGTGAGCATGTGTTTATAAGCATTTTATATCTTCCTCATTGGCCTATTCATCAGTATAGAATGCCACTCTTTATTGCCAGTAATGTTTTAAAAAATGCATCTTGTCTGGTATTAGTACTGTTACTCCAATTTTATTACTATTGAGTGTTGCATGATCTATTTTGTCCATCCTTTTACACTCAATCCACTTTTTATTTATGAATCTAAAGTCTGTTTCCAATAGACAGTATACAGGTTAATCTTGTTTTTCCTCAGTCTCACAATATCTCCCTATTGATTGCAATGTTTGAGCTGTTTATGTTTAAGGCAATTATTGGTATCAGTGGATTTATGCTTGCCATTTTACTTTGTGTTTTGTACACATTTTATGCCTTTGTTGTTTCTCTAATCCTCCATTACTACTTTCTTTTGCACTAAATATTTTCTCATGTAACATTTTAAATTCTTTAACATTTCTTTGCTATAGTTTTAAAGTTATTTTTTTAATGGCTACTCTAGGTCTTAATATATATGCTTAACAGATTTTGATTCAGACTTAGCTAAAATTCCAGTGAGGTATAGAAATCTTATTCTTATACAGTGCTGCTTACTTCTTCCCCTTTTTTGTGATATTAGTATCATACAAACTATATATATATATATATTACAAATCCAGTAATACATTATCAAAATTATTAATTTATATAAGACTATGTCTACTAAAGACGTAGAGAGAAGAAATACATTAATCTTTTCCCACATTTTTGGTTCTCTTAATTTGTTCCTGTAGATTTTCATTACCATCTGAAGTCATTGCTACCTAATACCTCGTAGCTTCCACCAACCTCCTTTGTGCTGTTATTTCCAAATATATTACATTTCAATATGTTATAAACCCAACATTACAACAGCTACTTTGGTACAGTTACTTTTCAAATAATAGACGGGGGAGAAAATACACATTTATTCTGTCTTTTATAATCATGTAATTTTTTCCCCCGTTTCAAATTACTGTCTGGTGTCATTTGCTTTTGGCCATTTGAACTTCCTTTAGTATTTCTTGTTAAGTTAGATCTGGTTGTAATGAATCTTCACAGTCTTTTTTTATTATCGAGGAATGCCTTTATTTCAGCTTCATTACAAAAAAGTAGCCTTGCTGGATATAGGAGTCTTGATGGACCTTTTTCTTCTTTCATTTGTGCACTTTGAAAATATTATTGCACTGCTGCCTCTATTGTTTCTGATGAAAGTGATATTTTCCTTGTTTTTTTCATGTTACTCTCTAGATTTTCTCTTTGCCTTTAAGCATTTTTATTAGGCAATTTCTGCTGTGATACCTTTTGCTTAGTCTATTTGGGATCCTTGAGCTTCGTGAATGTGTAGATTTGTTTTTCGCTGAAGTTATAAGCCATTAGGTATTAAAATATTTTTCTCTGATCTTTTTCTCTTTGCTTCATTGGCATGTGTCCCACAGGTTTTTCTTGACTGTTGGTTTTCTTGTCATTCCTTTTTTATTTCTCTTCCTGAGCCTAATACCATTTCAAATTAATCCTCACAAGCCAATGAGGTAAGTGGTATTATTATCCTTACTTTGCAGACAAGAAAACAGAGGTGTAGAAGAGCTGACTGGCCAATAAAACAAAGTAGTAAGAGTGGCTGTGAAGTTCAGACACAATTGTGAATCCAAAGTTTGTACTACTTCCTATATATCATACTGTCTTTATATTCTTTAACAACCATAAACAAACTATAGAGGCTTTAGGCGAGCTGCCTCCCTTCCAGAAAATCCTTTCTTTCCAAGAATTCTTTCTAGTTCTCTTTAGTCATCATCACTACCATATGCCTCCTCCAAAAGTACCTATGGAAGAGCCTCAACAACATGGATTGACAGAGTGACTATAACAATAAGCCCAAGCATATCAGAGATCATGAGGATGGCAGAGGATTGGACAAGGTTCAGCTCGTTTGTTCATAGGGTTGTGCTGAGTAGTAGTGAGTAGTAGCTGACTCAATGGCACCTAACAACAGCAACATTTGCTGGAAGATTAATGTTTATTGCTTTGAGTTGAATGGTACTCAATGGATATTAGCTTAAATAGCCCTAAGAACATCAATATTGTGACCTAAAAGATCTTTTTAGAAAAATATATACTTCTGAAGACTGATCACTTAGTGAGGAGTAGAAATTATATATGTTAACTGTCTTAGGAAACTATCTCCTGCTACTACTGACAGTTCTGACTTAACAGAACGTACTGAGGTCTTTTGTTTACTAGGTAGATGAAATTAAGGACAACTAGGTCCTAGTACAGAAATAGTAAACTAATTATTTTTTGTCCTGTAAAATAGGAGTCAAGTCTTGGAAAGAATATAATCTCTAGAGATAAACAAAGAAGACTCCAGAAATAGTAAAAAGAGGAAACACAAAAAACTTGGAAATAATCCTTTCTAAGGAAATAATCCTCTCTGTTCTAAGTATACTTTGTACCCTCACCTTCATTCAGAGAATATGAACTGTCCTAGACAGTCTTTGATTATATAAAATATTTTCCACTATTTCTCTTCATACACTGAAAAGGATTGTCTCAATGACTTTTATTCCCTCTTTCAATTAGTTTCTCCTCTTCAATTCCAAACAAACTGCTTTCTCCTCTTCAATTCCAAACAAACTGCAATGTATGCCCAAATTGTATATCCAAGTTTCTATTGCAAGAAAACCTGCTCAGGGCCTGTAACTTCTTCATCTTCTAGCTGTTATCGATTTCTGTATTGCTATTTGCAGCACAGGATTTGAGAGAATCATTCTGAAGATCTGACTGTTGTATTTGGTTCTTTCCAAACTCTATCACCAGTATTTTTCCATGTAGTTTATATCCATTTACTAGATGCAATGCTTCCCGTGCTATCTCCTTATCTAAAAGAGAAAAAAAAAGAATTTATATCGTTAATAAAGTTCTCTTTTCATATCTAGTTTAGGGTTTTTGTCTTGAAGGTACATGAAGCCCAGTAGTCAGTAAATAAGTTCTCTTTTTCATAATCTTCAATCTGTTTGACTCAGCAACAATAATGATAATAAAAATGTAAAACAGATTCTCTTAATTTGAGTATCAAAATTAAAAAATTCAAACTTACTGCTGTGGATTTGGTTCTGACTCACAATGAATCCCTATTGAGTTTTTGAGGCTATAGCTCTTTATAGGAAAAGACTGGTCATGTTTTCCCCATGGAAGAGCTGGAGGATTAGAACTACTGACCTTTGGTTGCAGCTTAAGACATTAGTTACTACATCACCAAGAGTCCTAATTGAAATATACAGGTAAAGAAACAAAGATATAGAAATTATGCTAAGGAATTCTAAGCATAAAATAACATACTGTGATAGCAGATTATATAGGTAATGTGAGAAGCAAATAATTTCTAAAATCAGTGACATAAAGTATTATGTACTCAAAATCATTGCCAATAAGAGAGATGCAAATCAAAACAATGAGACAACATCTCACCATAGCAGCAGTGGCAAAGTTTAGTAGAGCAGCAAGCAATACATGTTGGAGAAGATATGGAGAGGTGGTAAATCTTACGCATTGTTGGTGGGATTATAAAATGGTACAACCACTCTGGATGGCAGTATGGAATTTCCTCAAAAAGTTGCACACAGAAACTCTGTATGACCCAGCTATTTCACTAAGAATATGCCCCATGGAAATTAGAACTGAGACACAAACAGATCTGCACACCAATGTTCATAGAAGTGTTATTCACTATCTCAAGATGATGGCAACAGCCCAAAAGTCCAACAAAAATTGAATGGATTGAACACTTGTGGTATATTTTCATGATAGATTACTACACAGCACACAGGAGCAATGATTTTAAAACATCCTACATAACTTGGGAGAGACTGGAGAGCATTATGCTGAGTGAACTAATTCAGTCTCATAA